GATGACCGGTGCCGACAACTCGGGGACTACATGACCAACTTCTGGGTGGAGGGAGATCTGCACTTGACGCAATGGAACCACCGCAACTCAGATGGGCCAAGAACAAACAACCACCTAGAAGGATGGCATTCCCGCCTGAAGAAATACGTCGGCAAGGCTCATCCAAACATTTTCGAGATTGTGTCGTTCTTGTCACGAGAACAGACCAACACCGAAAACAAGCTAGTCCAGTATGCTGTTGGCCAGAAGCGTCCGTCCAAGAAGAGGAAATACAGGGATTTGGAGCGACGACTGGATAACATCTGTCACCAGCTTGAACAAGGAACACTGTCCGTGAGGCAGTTTGCTGATTCAGCATCCCACTTATTGCATTTAGGTTAAAATCTGTGAAAAAATGTATGCTATATGAATTTACGATGTATTTATTAAAAATGCTAAAATCTGTCAACTAATAAAAATCTGTCATCTGTTGTCATCTTCTCATTAGGTGCGCTCTCATCCGCATAATCCGGATTATCCTCCTCTAACAACACTTTGATCCTGCATTGTCCTCGTAATCCATTATTAACTGGCAAAGTGAAACTAGTCTCAGGACGTCGACCTTCAGATTTCACCCAACCGTAAAGTTGGGTCGAAAGGTCGGCGTTATGAGCCTGAACCAAAAAGAGAACACCCCGAAACTTGGAGCTTGGTTTTCCTTCCAGAGGCCGTCTTCACTGACTTGACTCACTCATGAATTAACAAGCCTTGTTAATTGGTGAATCTTAACTGCCTTGATTCACTCATCAATTAACAGGGGATTAGGTCTTGGGGCGTGCAAACTACAATCATTTACCATCTCCCACCAGTTATCTCCCCTTGTGGACATTTCCAAAATTGGAATTTTTTGGAAATCTCATATGTCTTGGAAACATCATCTTTCCAAAATTGGAAATGTCTTGGAAACATCATCTTTCCAAGACATTTCCAAGCTTGTAGATGTGGACTTTTTTTCCAGTGTTTTAAGCTGCCAACCACGGTCACCCATCCGAGGACTCTCCGCGTTCACCGTTGCTTAACTTCACCTGATTTGTGATCTGAGCTCTATGAACAGGGCCACGTGTCACCACATTATCATATTCATGATAACTGCATGTTGAATTTTGTCAAAAACACAGTGCGGAGAGTTTCTGGACTTTGGGGTTTCGAGAATTAAATTGTGAAAGGGTAAATTAAGAAAACGGTATGTTAGCCAATATAAATATGACAGAATAATCCTGTAAAGAGGTAACAATTATTATAATCTCTGGGTTTAAAATCTTTATTTTCAAGAACTGAAACTGTCGAATATTACTCACTTTCAGAACATCAACTCATTTTGTGGTGGCTCAACCAGGGATGTAAATTATTCTTCAATCTAATTTACCTGATATGTAAAAGATCAAGTGAAGTCGGAGATCAATTCCACGATTGCTACCTATTTGTGTGACAGGAAATCGTTTGTTCACTCAAAATGAATCGTGAACTAAAAATGAATCGTGAACTAAATATTAGTAAAGATAAGAGAACCGCCTGCACACTAAAAATATTTAATCAAAATATAAATAACTGAATTACTCTATGGTTTGTGAGTATTTTGTGTGTATATATTTGTCGCGCTCACGTTTTCCATTCTTTTTGACACCTGAAGTTCACAATCCTGATATTGAAAATTGAAGCTTGGTTGATTAATCTCTAGCCTTCAAATATTGTGGAAAACACGTTATTTCCAACCTAAATTGCGCGAACGTCATCCTACGGCTACGCGATATACACATGAATACTTAATAAAAGGTGAGAATCCTCCGTTTTGTATCCCTTGTGATGAAAGAATCACGGTCAAGCATGTCACCACTTGACTGTATTGATTTTTCCATCACAAGGGATAAGTATTTCAATGTAAAAACGATGAAGGATCTTTATAGTAATATACATGTTGAATTAATGACGTTGACTGTTAGTGGCATTACCTTTAAAGGGGATTGAAGTAGCGTAAAATCATTGTTTCCTGAGAAGGTCTGTAAGTCCCATTTCATTGGAACTTTTCTCATACCACGTGTTTTTAATCGTAGAGTATGTGTTCCTTTAATTATAGCTAATTTTGACTACAATCGGCAATGGTTGAAGGGATGATGTCGATCCTGGTGCTCTACCTTCAGTTGTTGGCGATATATAGCCCGTTTTATATATTGTATTGTATTGTTTTTAACAGATTTTCATACTAGTTTTACAATTATATCTGTGATATTCTTGTTATTTTCACTGTCCTTCGCCGACAGGGTGTTTTTTTAATTTATGACGCAATTATAACTTGCTTTTAGTCACGATATGGCTGAAATATTTCCGATGTGACTTTCAATTTTAACTCACTCACTCATGCCACGGCTAACAGAAAGCCAGCGTCTCCGCCTCCTGGGTATGCTGGAGACTGGAATAGACCCAAATGAAGTGACCAGACATTTTGATGTCCATCATCTTATCTCTATGGAGACGTTTTCAACATAATGGGAACAAGAGAGATTTGCCTCGGACCGGCCGTCCACGCGTGATGTCATGTCAGCAAGACAACCACATTCGGCTGACCCATCTAAGGAATCGATTCCAGACTGCCAGTTTGACTTCTTAGACCATTCTTGGCTTACGTCCAATCAGTTCCAGGACTGTCCGGAACCGACTAAGGGAGCACAATATCCGAGGACGACGGCCTGTAAAACACCCAATTATGCTCCAACGTCACCGACAGGCACGTTTACGGTACAGGAGACAAGATAGGGATGGAGTTTGTTTCACTGACGAGTCGAGATGTCATTTACTCAGGTGGCAGGACAATGGTGTACAGACAGCGAGGTAAACGGTGTGATGACGCGTGCGTTGTTCAACGTCGACAGCTTGGTGGTGGCAGTCACTGTCAATGGCAATCTGCAAGGTCTGCGATACAGGGATGAGATCAATGGGCCTGATGTGCGGCCGTTCATTCAAGGACAGAGACGTAACTTCACGCTTCAGCAAGATAATGCCCGTCCACATGTCGCTCGTGTTGTGATATATTTCCAGAGACAGCAGAACCGGAAGGTACTCCCATGGCCAGCTGTTTCTCCGGACCTGTCCCCTGTGCCCAGAGCATGCTTGGGGCGAAATAGGGAGACGTTTAGGTCAAGCCCAGAATCAGACTTTGACGTAAGCTGACTTGGAACAAACGTTAATTCAGACAAGGAACAACATTCCCTAATCTTTCTTCAATCGCACAGTGTCGTCTATATGTCGTCGTTGTCAAACCTGCATCAACGCCAAGAGTGGACACACACGATACTCAATTTGTGAACTGACCTTTTACACCACATATCTGAAAGGGCGTGTGACGATGCCCAGTGTCAAATCAGACAGGAATTCGGTATTACCCTGTCAACAGTTAAACGGCGACTAAGGAAAACACCACAAGTCATGTTATTTGTCGGTTTGCACTAAAACATGGCATGACATCAAATAATTTAGTAACTTCATTCCAGTCGTATATAATCCTACGTGGCTAATAGTGTTTGCTCTTTGCACACAGTGGCAGCTCCAACGGGCGGACACCGCAAATTACCTGTTTGCGCGAGGTGTAAATACAGATACCGCAACGCCCCAATTGACTGCTTTTGGTATACATAGTGTCAATTTGCCGATACAATCCCCAACACCAGCTATAGCTCTGCACAACCCCAACTAACACACTTACTTGCCCCACTGCTCCTGGCCTGGTCTAACACATCACAGTTACATCACCGAATGTTTCGCTGTGACTGATAACCGGATCTCACGACTTGACAAATATAATGTATTAAACGGGGTAAAGATTTAACAATAAACGTACGCTTATCGGTTTGGGAATGGGTTTAGCGTATCTATACTCAACGACAAAATTTATTATTTATTATGATTTATATGTTTAAGCCTATAACATTCATGCTATATCACGTTTCTGATCGTACAAACTGCTGATGATAATTATTGCTCACTGTCTTCAAACACATCGGTGTAGATATAACATATTTTTGTTGGCATTCAAACATCTCAAAGTGCCTGTTCAAAACTATTTTCGAAATACCCTTGAAATTTCAGAAGATGTATGAAATTCATAATGCTTATGGTATGACAGTTTCTTTGAAAGTCCAATTATTTGTCATACCAGACAAGATTTAATGCTATCAATAGCGCAATCGATCCACCTTGTAGTAGCAAGCCTCGCGTTACCTTCCGCACATGAAAATGCACCGTCACTGATTGTATGATCTGTTCCACGAAACTTGATAGGAACCCATGACAACGCCATTAATGACACCACGCTTAGCTCAAGGTGGTCAACAGACAGTCCAAACCTGACTTCATCGCCAGGCACGTCATCACCAATGTCGAACCTCTTTTGTTTGAGTGGATGAATGTAATATCAAAACTTGAACAAACCCCAAAGCTTAAGGATGCCAAAATGTCGTGGTTTGTGATTGTATCCGCCTTAACCAGAAAACTGTTGGTAAGGAGATTGCACTATTAAAAATGTTGGTTATAGTGGAAACCGCTGGGCAGCGCAGCGTTACGTTGTTCAGGATGTGGTGTTGTCCTTTATGTCGGACATCTAAATGTGTATTTAAGCACGATAATGGTCGACCCATGGACAGGATAACTACAGCTCGTCTTTCACATCAGTTGAGCGCCTAAGGAACCAGAAGCAAGACTGAAGTACGTCCCAGACTATGATCTTGCATTAGGATATATACAGCGAGATTACAGTAAGGTCATAATGTCTCATTCACGCCACGAAGTGTCGCAGTCCACAACGTTACACGGCTGACACGCTCGAGCTTGAAAACAGTCCTCCTAAACAACGAATGGTCTAATGTGTAGCTTTCCTGTTGACTTTTTTGTAAAAACTGTTGGAGGCTCTCAAAAGGACATAATCTTAAAAATTATTTACAGGCACAGCGTGAGGAGTAGACGCTACTCACCCTGGTCAGCGTGCTAGCGATGGGGCGGATTACACTGGAGGTCGGAAGCCAACAAAACTCTTACAACTCCTCAACTCCTGTCAAGATTTGGCAAGGACACGGCAAATGTCGCTATTTATTCAAAATGTCACGTCAAATGTGTGTCACGTGCTTTGGATGTATTTAGCGCACCCCTGCCGTTATCCAATCGGAGCTGGGAGTGTGGCTGTAGGTCAGATTCACCTCTGTCTGAACCCCGAACACATATCTTTAAACACCTGTCTATTTACCTGATTTCTTCTCCCAAATGTCGAACGGCACGTGACAGTACATCTGTCTTTTCCCGTTATGTTTGCGTGGACTATCCCAACAAGATAATGTTAATAGGGACAAAACATAATATATGCCTAAACTGAACCCTATATACGCATTTACTGTACAAGATATACACCTGTGATGTGCATTATGTACACCTACACAGTAGAGGATTTAACACCTTAACATAATCCACATCCATAATGTACATGGTATACAGTTATACCGTACATATCCATACTGAATATGATGCACACATGTAGCGTGCATTATATACACCTATACCGTACATGATATGCGCCTATATTGTGCACAATATACGCCTACACTGTTCATGATATACACCTATACTATACACGACATACGCATACACTATACACGATATACACCTATACTATACATGACATATGTCTACACTGTTCATAATATACTCCTATCCTATGCTATGCTATACACGACATATGCCTACACTGTACATGATATATACCTATACTATACACGACATACGCCAACACTATTCATGATATACACGTATACTATACACAACACACGCCTACACTGTTCATGATATACACCTATACTATACACGACATATGCCTACACTATTCATGATATACACCTATACTATACACGACATACGCCTACACTGTTCATGATATACACCTATACTATACACGACACACGCCTACACTGTTCATGATATACACCTATATCATACATGACATACTCCTACACTATACACGATACACAACTATACTATATATGACATATGTCTACACTGTTCATAATATATACCTATACTATACACGACATATGCCTACACTGTACATGATATATACCTATACTATACATGACATACTCCTACACTATACACGATATACACCTATACTATACATGACATATGCCTACACTGTACATGATATATACCTATACTATACACGACATACGCCAACACTATTCATGATATACACCTATACTATGCACAACACAATCCTACACTGTTCATGATGTACACCTATACTATACATGATATATTAATACACTGTTCATGATATACACATATACTATACACGACATACGCCTACATTGTACATGATATACACCTTCACTATACACGACACACACCTACACTGTTCATGATATACACCTATACTATAAACGACATACGCCAACTCTATTCATGATATACGCCTATACTATACACAACACACGCCTAGACTGTTCATAATATACACCTATACTATACATGACAAACACCTACACTGTTCATGCAATACATGTCACATGCCTACACTGTATATGATATACACCTATACTATACACAACACACGCCTACACTGTTAATGATATACACCTATACTACACGCGTCAAACGCCTACACTGTTCATGATATACACCTATATCACACATGTCATACGCCTACACTATACACGATATACACCTATACTATACATGGCATGTGCCTACACTGTTCATGATATACACCTATACTATACACGACATACGCCTACACTGTATATGACATACACCTATACCGTACATTATGTACACCTATACTATAAAAAGACACACACCTATACTGTTGGCCTATACAATGGACGACATAAAATTACTCTTTTTATGATACCTATGTTATATGTAATATTGTCCAACACTGTACAAAATCTATATATACTGCAATTGATAATGCCTCTTTACTCAGCAAATTACACTTAAATCGTTATAGTATACTCTGTATGTACGTCTTCGATTTCATAGGTGATAATATCCAGGTCTATATTTAATTAAGATAGCGGGCCATCGGAACATGCGCAGTGCCGTTAACAACACACAAAAAGACACAATTCATAGTTGCATCTCTCTCTCTCTCTCTCTCTCTCTCTCTCTCTCTCTCTCTCTCTCTCTCTCTCTCTCTCTCTCTCTCTCTCTCTCTCTCTCTCTCTCTCACACACACACACACACTAACTAACTAACTAACTAACTAACTCACTAACTAACTAACTAACTACTACGCCCTAGATTAGATTTTTAACGTATGTTTATTTCAAGGAAAAGGACATACAGGATAGAGAGTAGATTGCACGTGGTGTTTAGGAGACAAATTCATGGAGGCGTAACGACACACTTCCTTGGTTGAATGCAATAAAGCACGTTTGCCACGGAACGTAAACATTCGATCTCAACGCCCTTTGAAGTAAACATGTGTGAATGGACACAAATAAAAGTGGCTTGGAGAAAGACAAAGGCCCATTCGGATAAAATGCCCATAGTTCACAAGCTCCGAAGGTCAAATGCCCACCCGACATACTCGAATAACTATGAAATACACTGCCATTTAGAAAGTGGTCATATGTAACATATGTTATATTCGGCATTACACTTTCTTAGTAAAGTACAGATTCTAGTACTTTTGTTGGGTTGAGTCTCATCCGGGATTCGAGCCCACACCCTCAGAGCCGCGGTGGCTGAGCGGTCTAGGCGTCTGACTTTGTGTGCTGGCGATTAGGTGCTTGACTCTGAGGGTGTGGGTTCGAATCTCGGATGGGACTCAACCCAACAAAAGTACTAGAATCTGTACTTTACTAAGAAAGTGTAATCCCGAATATAACATATGTTACGTAAGAATAACTAGTTTAATAAAACAGCAATCACATTCCATCTTCAAAGTCATTGTTGTACCGACAGCAATCATCAACACACCAATAACTGTGTTTCACACTATTCAGACTGTGTTTTCACTATGCACAGATTATGCAGCCTCGTCTTTATGACTTCCTAAGTTCTCTCTGCTTTCTTTTATTTGGTCTGATATTACGACCCTTATTCATCGACAGTTAAATGGCTGTATGATATAATTGTTCACTGTCAGAAATCATATATGCCTCCTTGATAACTTAAGTCAATTATTTTATTGCGTTCAGTGGTAGCCGCACAAAAAATTGAATGAAATACTTAGCACAGACTGTTAAGACATACAAAGTGTTTACTTACATTTCTATTGAAGTTCCAATGTACATGTATACAGAGTAGCTAACTCAATTATAGGTCTTGCTGTCAGGCGCTATTACAGTAGGTGGGAGACGTCAGACGTACGTCAGGCGTATCGCCTGTGAACAGAGAGGGGAAATGTTCTTCACAAACATGTGAGGAGTATTAGTTAAAGAAAACAATATTGAGTACATCTATTTGTTAATGCGGTTACACATTTGACAGCTGATCATTGGATCCAATAGTATTTTCATTATTAGATATGACTATATCAAGTATGTTCCGGCAAGGAGAGAACTTGTCTCCAGTTTTGTTTTCATTATTTCTTAAAGATCTTGAAGATGCTTTAGCTTCAGATTCATGTTGTGGTTTACAACTTAAACCCGGTGATTTCCAGAACCGCTTAGATACGCTCAATACACTTTTTGCACTGCTATATGCTGATGATGCAGTCATTTTGTCCTCAGACCCAGGTGATGTGCAAACTACGTTAGATTCTTTTCATAATTATTGCACAAAATGGAAGCTTAAGATTAACACATGCAAATCCAAAATTCCTATTTCCATTGATTGTTATTTGAAATTGTTTAATTGTATAGTCACCCCGAGTCTTGTATATGGATGTGAGGTCTGGGGTTTTGAAAATACTTCTTGCTTTGAATATATTCATCTACGCTTTCTCTAATATTTAGTATCTGTCAGGAAAAGCACACCTAACTTTATGTTATATGGCGAGTTTGGTAGATTCCCACTTGTTAATGTCATTAAAAGCAGAATGGTAATACTATGTTTTGGGCTAAACTTTTAACCGGAAAATCGTTAAAATTGTGCTTCTTAATATATAAATTAATATTAAACGATTATATATTTGGCAAATGTGAACATAAATGGATAATCTTTCTTGAGAGAATTTTCGACGATCTTATACTCAGTTTCCTCTGGAAATCCCAAAGTTTTAAAGGTATATATTGGCTTAAAACTGTTATCAACAGCAAATTCAAAGATATGTATCAGCAAACACGGATGTCAACAATTGAAACCTCTTCCAAAGCAACCACTTATAGCATTTTCAAAAATCCATCTCTCAATCCATATCTATATTTTCTGCATTACAATAACTTGTAAAAAATTTCGAACTTCCAATCATTTTTTTCCAATCGAATCCCAGAAAATGAAAGAAAGTATACTGTGTGTAACCTAAATGATATTGGTGTTGAATTTCATTATTTATTGTCCCAAATTAGAATTAGAATGTGAAAAATATGTTTACAAGTATTATTATATTAGACCAAATATGTATATAATGAATGTCCTATTATAACATTAATAAGCTAGGAACCTTTAGAAAACTGATTTTTTGCAAAATAATTATGGCCTTATTTATGAAATAACTTAATATGTAACTTGCTCGATGTACATTGCACCTATCATACCGTTTGTATATAATTTTTATGTTGTATAAATGTAAATATTATTTATGTACCTCTTAGGCTGCAGTTTGTAGCCTAAGTGAATAAAGTTCAGTACAGCTCAGTTCAGTAGTGTTTGCAGTGCAGTAGGACGTGTTCGGGTGTTTCTGTCTCGTTGCAGTGCGTGCAATGGTCTGTTTGGTGCTTTTTATGTAGATGGGAATTTAATTTTCTTTGACATGTTTGTAATTTGGTTACCGCCCTGTCAATAGTACTAGATTTATTGCAGTTTTTAGAGTGTCTTTTGGAGTAGATGTTTTAGTTTAGAATTTGAATTTTGGTATTCACTTTGCCACTTTAGGAAGATTCTTTGTTGTTTTGATAGGCTTTGGATTTCATTTTAGATAATGGTATGTTTAAGTTAACTTCTGGGAGTT